TAATGAAAAGAGGCTCTTATTTTATATTCTATCTTGTCAATATTGGTAATTTGAGTTTCTAATTCATACAAAACTATAGACTTAGAATTTTGACTTGACAAATATCTAATCTGAACCAGTAATGCATTCAACATACCACGTGACACACAAAAATTGATGTTTATCTGTTTATTTAACATTTGCTTTTAAATTAAGAAATTGAGTAATATATAGTACTAAAATTTGAATTATAATCTACAGTTTGATACCAAAGTTATTGACATAAATTTATGAAATAGTAGTTCAATAAAATTTTGAATGAGAATCAACAAACAAGATGACATGGCCTTTCATCTGTGACCCATCTTGAAAGGGTTAAGGATCCAATCCTCATATGAACATTTTGCTTACTTTTAACAAATTTAAAAATAGTTCTTGCTAATAGTTTAACAGCATCAGTCAGCTCTTTCTCATACTGTATGTATAAGCATTTTTGGATTTCCATATTTCTTTTTCAACCATATACCTAACTTTCCTATACTTTTATTAATCTTCCAACCTATCAATTTACACTTCTTAAACATAGTTTTATCCTTGATTTCTTCCTTTGTCTTCCCCTCATTTTAGGACATGCCTATTTTGAATTAAAAGTAATTTACGTTGAAAAATTTCCCAAGTCTGTCTCATATCATCTTTTATCTCATTATTCCAATTCCTTAGTGATATACAGTAAAAGCTTTATTGTATCTAGAATCTGGTAGCCAAGGGCAATGACAAATACGTGAAAATTCAGGTTAAGAAAGCATTTCCCTTATGATATTTTACAGGAAACATTTTGACATCTTGTTCCTATTCTAAAGTACAGTATTACTACATCGTCTATAACAATTTTAAACAATAAGTGAAAATTAACATAACTTTTTAAAATACAGTATTTTAATTGTGAATCACAGTACAAGCAGCTAACAACTGAAGCTTGTCGGTGAAAGAACGTAAACAAAGCCACAGCAGAACAACTAAACTACAATGAGTACTTGTGTTTGGAGATATCGAAATTTCCAGTTATAAGAGCTTTCTGTACTAGATAAAGCTTTTACTGCACCTTCACTTCTTTTTATCTCAAGATGTAAAAAATATTAAAACCTAATTACAGAATGATCACTCTTCCCCAATGTTCCCCTACTTCATCACGTGTAACCATACATTCATTACTAGTTAACAATATGTCTAAAACTGTAACCCCCATCCTTGTTTGGTTGACCATTCTGGAAAAGAAAATCATGAAAATATTTAAAAGAAATCTCTCTTCCTCATTATTCGATTCCATACAATCTCAATCATTTTTTTTAATAATTATTGCACCAGTAATCTTCTTAATTAAACCGTATCTTGTTTTATTATACAACTAGCCGGAGTACCCATTCCTGGATGGGAGTTATGTAGATTCATGATTAATGAAACATTATTTTAGAACATGAAAAGTTGCTTCCCTTATATGTAACTGTAAAAAATACAAAAATGGCCATGAAATCTGAAAAACATAAAATGAGAAACCACAAGTTTGCGTGTATCTCTGCATGGACTCAAATGCCAAATTTGGTAAAGATCTATTTACAGGATGTAAGATAGTGGTAAAAAATGCAAAAACACTCATAAAAACCATAAAACTGAAAATTTGTATGCATCTCTCCATGGACCCAACAAACTTTCATACAGAATTTGGTGAAGATCCATTAACAGGGGGCAAAGTAATGGTAAAAAATGCAAAAACACTCATAAAAACCATAAAACTGAAAATTTGTATGCATCTCTCCATGGACCCAACAAACTTTCATACAGAATTTGGTGAAGATCCATTAACAGGGGGCAAAGTAATGGTAAAAAATACAAAAACACCAATGAAAACTGCAAATCTGAAAATTTGTATGCATCTCCCCATGGACCCATTTAACCTCCATACCATACCCTGTGAAATAGTTACATGGACATACAACAGACAGTGCTATTATATTTATACAGATTTCTCACTAACCTCATCTTTCTGGTCAGATGGCCTACAACCATCACCAATAAAAATCTTTCAAACATCTTTTAAGTAACTATTAAGTAGCTTATAGCCTGGATCATCAAATAATTTTTTTAACAATATTCTCTGAATCTAACCAGGGTTAATTAGTTCAATTATATCATACCCATTTTAAAACTAGAGCCCAAACTCCTCAATATTGTTTGTAATAATAATAATACTCGTAAGCACCATGTGAAAATTTTGCTAGAATTTGTTCTTTGTTATCAATCTAGCCAAACATAAGCAAAAATTAACTAAAAGTAAACTATTTCAAAATTTATAAATCAAAATGTTGATAAATCTAGCAGTAAAACACCCCTATTAATTAATAACAATACTATTAATTACCAGTTTGCCCCTAAAGAAGAAAGTTCCACTTTTCGAAAGCACTCGGGTTATAGGGTTTTTATACCTCAACTAGATACAAAACACATCTAGTTATAGCTAACTGCTAAAACATAATTTACTAGACAACAATACCTAATACTCAGCAGCTACCATAAGTATCACTACTAGTAGCAATAATGGAGACAATTTTAACTCTTTCATAAATTTTATCTCGTATTTCACTACCTTCTTTGTTTAACACTTGTGATAATTATCTATTTCTATCTACTGTTTAATTAATTTAGTATCCTAGTATAGTATAACCTACTATCTATAAACAAAGCATTATATTAGTTATTTATGAGATTTTGAGTCCTTTTTAGCTCACCATATAGTAGCCTAAATTAATTTAGGTGTGTGAATAATATTATGGCAATGTGCCAAATTTATTATTTGATATTACACAGCAGACCAAATGTTTAATGTTTATATTACAGATTTCTTTTCACCAAAAGTAAAATATGTCACAGATTAGATTTTATATCGGTTGAAAAGAAATCTGTAATATAATCATTAAACATTTGGTTTGCTGTATAATATTGAATAAATGAGACACAAAGCTATAATATTATTCACATACACCTAAATTAATTGAGATTACTATATGGTGAGTTAAAAAGGACTCAAAAATCTCATGAATAATATATAAATATCAAAATCATTACAGGCCTAACTGTATTTCTTTGGTTTGCTGACTGAAGCTGGACTGATGAGTCTTGAATAGACAAAACTGTATTCCACAGCAGATGGTGCAATGAATCAAAGAATGCATTAGGCCTTTAAATCATATATTATGCTTTCTATTTAACCTTTCGTCAAATCTGTAAGTATAATATTATTTTTAACTACTCTAAATTTTAAGTAATACTAAAATAATACTTATATTTTTACCTTATATTATAGTAATTCAAGTACTTATAATTTATGTGTCACATCATTAACAAATATTGAAGCATTTCTTCAACAGCTCCTTCTATAAAATCAGTAACAAGTTTAATTATGAATATCAATAAAATTGCAATGATATTGAATAAAACTCAACTATCTCTAATTATTTCTGTTTCAAACACACTTCAGAACAATAGTCTTCCTACAAACACAAAAATGATAAATGTATGAATTATTGACATGTGTTTATTTCACTTATAAGAAGATTTATATCAATAATCAATACTGAACCCCCCATTCTTTTTACACATTTTGTTTTTAAAATAAATATGCATTTGTTTTGCCAACTGTTCACAAATGTTAACTTTTTAGTAAGTGCCATATTGGCACACCACAGGTATCAGAAATGAACCTTCTGTTATATTAACCATCTTTTCTTTTTACTGATTTTTTTATGTACCATTCTTTACCAGTGGAAGTCCACAAATTACAATATATCAAATAATTTTATGATTTTGCTTACTAAAACACTCAGTATAAAGAAGTGACCAAAACTGGGTAAAATAACTCATATTCTCTATAAAGGCTATATGGAAAATCCCAGCAATAATTACTGAGATTAATTGTAATATTGATGGTATTTTTGCTTATATGTATATATTTTGTTATTAGAAACTTTGTGAACAACATAGCAATGGACCAACAAGCAATTTGATCCATAAATAGTTTAGAAACATGTTTTAAAAGTTAGTGGGGGCCCATATGAATCCCCATCCATAAATCATCAGGTCATCTCACTCTTTATACCCTTTTAAAACTAACTGTTAATTTACTACAGTAGAAATGGCCCACTCATGAAGGGAGATGGCAGATTACTAACACAGCAATTATACCACACTTACCACTATTTATGTGTTGACTTATTCAACTTACACTATCCTTAACTGTTTATCAGAATAGCAAAATGTATAAACTGAGGATGGATTAGGGCATTTAGATTTTTCACTGTAAAAAATTAAGATATTTTATGAAGCTTTCTTGATAAATTTATCCTCTACGAAGTTGAAAGTTTGTTGTATGAACACTCATACTACATTTTACTATTAATTTCATAAAAATTGTTTCAGTTTGTATTTAAGAATTAGAGAAATTCAAATAGTCTTATGTTTTGATGCAAAAAACTGAACCTTACACATATGTACTATTACTGTTTGAATTAGTAGTAGCCTTTTAAATTTTTAGATTTAATAAGTTTGTATAGAGTACAACTCAAGTAATTATTTATTCAAAACATTAAGTTACTTCTGTGTAACTGTTTTACATTATTATAAATGAAATAACTTAAAGGTCATTAATAAGTTTATGGTCAAAAATGGTGACTTTAAGGCAACTTACGTTAGTAGTAGTAATAATAAAGACTAATTTTAAATTTTAATATATTACTTGTCTTTAGAAGTTGTAACTTTCAGTTGACTTGAGACTTTGTGTCACTATATATCATTCAAGTGAATCTATTTCAAGTCATGCTGACCTAATGTTTTTTAAATACTAACTTAAGTTTTAACATTGATTAGACTTAGAAGTTAGAGTCATAAGTAGTAGTACTACTACCAGTACATAGTAGTTTTAAGAAAATTGTCCAAAATAGTTTTTACACAAGGTCTTAAAATTACTTTACCGTATTTCGACGACTCTTTTGCCATTTTCGTCCCATCAGAATTCCGGAAAGGCACATAACAGTATTATTACTATTAGATTAGTATTACTAAGCGAGTATGTAACGTTATTAATTTAATATTAACTTGTTACATACAAATTACAATATTTTTACATTATTCATGCCTAAGCCTAACTAAGTTTTTAATTTGATTCTAAGTAATTATATTATAAACTACCTATACACTATACAGCATAGTCTTAAAGTAAGACAGGCCTAAGAGTAGGATAAGTATCAACATTTTTGGCTAAATTTACGTTAAAATTTACATTATAGCTATATTTTTACAATGCTAATACTATAATATATACTATATTATAGTAATACTAAGTAATAATGCTATGTATATCATGACGATAAAAAAGAACGGAAATGAACATACACTTTGAAACTGCAATAATTAGCCATGCAAAATCAGACTTAAAATTGCAATGAAGAACAAAAAAATTAACATTTTACATACCAATCTCTCTTTAACTGATGTCATTATAAGCAAATTCAAATAACAGAAACCCAACACCCACTCGGGTCCCTAAACTCGGCCATGTCAAATGCCTCAAAGCGCACCCTGAAAGAATACTCTCAAAGCATTACGTTTTAACTGACGATACAGTGTTTTCAGTTTTCGTCAGGATCGTTAAAGCTATACCCAGTGGAACGAAATTTGATTCTTATTGTCCGATAAATTTGCACGAAGTTAATTAACAAGAATTTCTTTTGATTTAAATAACTATAGGAAGAAAAATACAAATGGCCTATTTTTAGTTGCATGCTAATAAAAACATGAGTAAGTTGAGGGGCTAATAATGCTAAAAATCGGATTTCGATACCTGAGGTGGGCAAAAAACAGATATCCCATTGTGTAGCTTTTTTCTTATGAACAAATAACCATACTAATTATCTTCTTTCAAAATAAAATATTCCGAAGTGTAACTTTTGCAAACAATCTGACTTCTGTTTGATATATAAATATATACATTTGACACTTAAAAGTAATGAAAAATGGTATAGATTACGTTCGTTAAATCATAATTTATTTCATGGCATGTGTTTTTGTTAGCTTGCAAAGTTAATTATTTAGTTTGGAAATTACAGTAAGAAGTCAATGTGCATTGTTTAGTAAGGAAAAATACACACACAAGGGTGTTTACGTAATTTAAATAAATTATTGTATATATAGTTACTGCAGACAAATAGATGTATTTTTATCATTGTTATCATAAGAATGGTTGACTCTTCTGAGAACACAAAGCAGTCGTCGTGTGAAGATAAATGCGCTGACCATGGGGAAGGCGGAGATGTGTGAATTCAGAGGATTGGGGTCAGAGCCCAATATATCTGTGCTGTAGGTTATTAGTATGATCAAAAGAGCAGTAGAAAGATACCTCTTCTAAGTTTTGCAACAGTATTCGGTCATGTGACCTCTTTGTTCAATACTGTTGTTGCGTCATCGAGGTCACGTGACTGGTGTGACGCCACCTATTTTCTAGAACTATCCTGTACCTTGGCGAATGCTCTAGTATTTACTAGATATAGAGTAGCCTGGTATATAAAAGAGGGTGACAACGTGACGGGAGAATTCTGTGTGTGTGTAGATAGTGAGTAATTGAACTGCAGTCACAGGGTATTGTTGAAGTTAACGTTTGTTCGTTGTAGTGTTTGTTTTAG